TTGAAGACACTGGAAATCACACAAACACCAGACAGACACACAAAAGTGATTTTAATGGCAATCCTAGCGAAGCGGATCACCAACAGATAGACAGACACACACAAGTGATTTTAAGGGAAAACCTAATGGAGCAGATCGCCAATAAAAAAACACAACACTGGACAAATGACCACAGCTAATTTGCATAAAAAAAAAATGCTGAGTTCATTTGTATAAACAATAATGCCTCTACCACATAGGCAAGTATAAAGTTACCGAAAACACAGAAATATTTGGCCTATTCACTCCAAAGAAAAAGGTGAGTCAAAGCATATACATAAGGCAGAATTTAATGTGTCGAAAACAACCTGTCAACAAACGAGCATTTCTTTCAGTGGGCTGACTATTATGTGTTAGAATTTGTGTCAGGCACAGTCACGCAAGTAGCTTCACATCGACTAAAAATCTATGGATGCACTGCTATTGAAACACAATATCTTCTTAAATATAATCAATCTCCAATATTGTAATTCCTACATTTATGCAAATTTATCTAATTGCAGAACGCCATATACAATCTGGATGATGCAATGTTGCATGCCAAAAGTTTTAGTACTGTAAAGTTTATAAATATTTATGCAACCACTGTATTTGGGGCTGCACTTGTAATACTTGTACGTTAGGAAACAATAGAAGGCGTGCCAAAAAGTGTGATTGACGGTGTTTTGTTTCGTCATGATTCAATTCTCTCAAAACTATCTCACAATTTACTATGATTTGGAATTGCAACATGGTCTACGTAGATAAATCATTATACCGTACTTCCCAGAGTGTAAGCCCAGGGGCCTCAACATGTAAAATCGGGAAAATTAGGGGGTGGGCTTATACTTGAGGACCACCTCAGAAAAGATAATTTTTTTGGGGGTTTAAAATTGTACCCCTCTTCCCAACCTCGAAAAATCATCAAAATTACATTTTTCGTTCACAGTGCCGGTCTCGAAGAAATATTATGTCTTTTTGATTTCCACAACACTTTTTACAATGAAGAAACAAATATGTTCATAAAAATACACACATTTTATTACAATACGATTTACATACCGTCTGAATTTACGGTGCAAAAATGGGTAGGGTCTGTGGGAAAACTGTCGAAGGCAAGATCTTTATCATTATCTTCGTTGTGGAATGTTTTTGATCGCTCGCACACTCTTGATATAAAGCAATTTCCGCCATGATATTTTTCATCATGATTTGACCTGAACAACTTCCTTTGACCTAGCAGGTCATGTCTTTCGTTAACCAATCAAAATGCTGTGTCGTACAGACGAAGTTTTTCGATTATTGACGTAGTAATTTTTTCAACGCAATGCGAAAGTGAATTACCATGATGTTAAAATACGATCTGATTTCGACAAAAAACGTTGATTTTTTTCCTTAAAGCTGTTGATTCGCAATTTTCAAAAAGTAAACTGAGGTTGGAGGAAGTATTTAAACGTTTCACGGTCACCAACAAGTCATGTCAAACAATAGTTTGCTTGTTCACATTCCATTCACGAAGGTCTCAATGGACACAATTATTCGGAAAAGTGAAACTATGTTCAATGCCCATTTTTGGCATTTCTAAAACCACTACTCAAAAGGAATATGGATTAATTACTTCAGTATTACAACACCGGGATTCATCGTGAGTAAATAACAGAATAGAAAAGGTGCGAACCATGTTCCGTAGGTTTGCCGGCCAACCACTCTGAAATTAATGGAGTTTTCTCATAAAAGCAGGAACCAAACTACCGTATCAATCACGATTATTATGCAATGAAATACACTTTTTACTTGCATATTTTAAAAAATAATGTCGTCGACACCCGATAAAATCCCCCTGGGCCTATACTCGGAGATGCCCTCCACTTGTTAAATGTCTGAAAACAGAGGGTGGGCTTATACTCGAGGAGGGGCTCATACTTAGGTAAAGGTAGCTTCACTTTGTCACGGCAGAGAATCTAAAACAATCTACAGTCTTGTAATCTTTTCACTGTCATCGTCAACTTTCACAATACACACAACTCAAACCTAATTATAAATAACATAAACAATAAAACAATAAAACAACAATAAAAATACTTAAACAAATTTAGTGGAATTCTACAGCATGAAAGAATTTCCTACAGAAATGTAAAAGAATAGTAATAGTAAAAGTGGCTAAGTTGGGCTACAACACTGGTGGCGCTCTTCAAATAATGGTAATTTATCATACCAGGAAAAGAAACGAAAACGTAGCGTGTGGAAAATGAGGGTTCTTTTCCGACACTAGACAATTACATTTACAAAGAAAAGAAACAAAAAGACGCCAAAATGCATCCAGGCTTACAATTTATATAGTAAACATTATGACCTCTTTTTATTTTTTTAAATTCAATCATATTTTCATGGTGCGAATATTCATATTAATAATTGTATTCATATCCGATGAGTGGCTATATTTAACTTTAGCGATAGGATCTCTTGTAAAATACTGTCCTGTACTTATAAAATAATTATAAAAATAATTACAGATAATCCCTATTGCAAACAATTTTATAATTCCCCAGTTATACCAAATTAATAATAAAAGAGTTTCATAAATACCATTGTGTACTAATATAGAGCTAAAAATTGTGCTTATGTATTTAATAATGTTATTGCTTATATCATACACATGTAGTTGCATTAGATATAATCAGCAAATGATTTGATACACCGACATACTTAACATTCAATATTCATTTCATGTGAGAAATGCAATGTTTTTTTCATAGACTGGACAAACCCAAATGAGCTGAATTAACATTGAAAATGCAAGTCATTTATTCACCGGATTGTTAACATAGCAGGATGGGGTTCATGTAAACTGGCCCTTAGTTGTAGGGTTCATTAATTATTTTCAAATTCTGAATTTACGAAAAAAAAAAAAAAAATACCATCACATTTCCAAACATGCATACTAAACACTTTACGTATTCTTAAAAAAAAAAATCATTCCTTCACTACAAAAATATAAAAAAAAATTAAAAAAATGTATAATGTACAAAAATATATAATTAGTGCGCAAGCAGTCTTTGCACTGGGAATGAATTTGAGATTACATGTGTGCAAATAATAGATAATATTTCCAAATATCTCTATCAAAGAATAGAATTATTTACAGTTATCATATCCTAGAAGTGAACAAAGGTCAATAATAATATGTGTAGTATTTTTTACAAGGTACAGTAGTCAGGTGTTATTGACGAAACAAACATCACAACCTCAAGTATTTATATCACCAAAGTGACATGATATACAATTATATCATAAAATACCACCCACAAACTGGTGCCAACTGACCAGTCTTCAACAAACCCTATATTAACATACTCCTGTTTCTAAGTAAACATTGACACCCGATCCCTGCCGAGATACATATACACTGTGTAATCCCCTATTGCCAAATCAGGAATACAACAGACAACAGATGGTTTACACTCATTTTGAATACAGTTATACTTAAGTACGCAAAAGGCAGACACTGCATGTGATTTTACCAAGCACAATTCAAAAAAGCACAAATGACTTGATTAGCACATGAAATAAAGAGTAGACATAATTACTAAGTATAAACACTGATGTCTTAAATACATCTAAAGATATAAGCAAGTGCAACTCCAAAGAACAGCATGCAAAATAAATAAAATGAAACAAGTCTTCAAAAAAGAACAAATTAAAGAGATGGTAATTGCCATGCATTGAGAACCAGAGAATTTCTTTAGTTGTTTTTTAAAATATTGTAAACTAACCAAAAAAATTTGATGTCATGAATTACCAGGGATAAACTAGTTGAACAGCAATGGACTCAGTTAAACATTTGCTAAGAAATGAACTCTGACCTGGCTATACATGACACATCTATTCAAATTTATTATTACATTTCAAGGACATGCCTTATTCTTAAAGATACAACCTTCCTACAAGCTCAATAAACCATCTCCGCAGTTACAGGGAATATGTTTGTAGTAGGAATGATTTGAATAATATATTTGAATAAATACAACTAAAATATTTAAAATAAATACAAACAAAAAACGTATAATTAATACAAAACACCTATCTACACTGGAGCAGCTGCGAACGATTGTTGCACAGTGACGTGCGATTGAGAACTACGCCACCTACAACCCAACAATCACGAAGGCACTCAAATCCGCCAAGGCAAGAGAAGTCCGAAATACGCTTAAAACAAATTCGCATTTGCGAATAAAAAAAAATCAACCTTCTAAAAATACAGAGCGATTTAACGGCAGTCAAGGGTTACAGCACATACAGTCAATAAAAATAGTCGTACGTGTCAACTGAGCGAGCGCACATGAAAGCAGGACTTGTTTGACATGCAAATTAGCTCGACTCCCTTCCTGTCTCGCTATACTCGAAAATGAGTCTAAATTCGATATTTAACCGTCGCTATGCAGGTTGTAGAATTATCACATCAACAGAAAAACATCGTAGTGTCATTACCAACAATGTACAAAGAAGCAAAAAACGCGTAGAATTAATCTACAGCCGGCAGAAGGCCGCTATTGACAACGTACTTAACTTGCTGGTTGATTTATCTGCCGCATATTGTATCAGCCTCGGCGACCCACATCACATTCTCGATGCGTACATACTTATCACAACGGCGGATTTTCAGTATAAGATCGTTTAGTAGAGACATATATGAGCGTAAAATACATTTATAATGAAACTAACAGTAAAACTACACGATACTAGAGATGTGACGTTACGACTAAACGAGAAAACCTATCATATAAAGTTTGGCCTCACTTTGCATTGTTTTCCAAACTACATATTTTAACACCGCGAGGTCGCATAGAAAAAGACAAACGTTACGATACCTTCAAACGCGGATATATTTTTAGGTGAGCGACGTTACCGGTGCTGATATATAAAATCGGATAAAGAACATAGCAATAAAGGAATATACTATATAAATAAAATCCAATAATCACCTCTTAGTCATGAAAAATTGAACAAATTTCACAGTGTAAGCGTGTTCTCCAGACACCAATGGATCCAAGATGGCGTCAAAAGGGAGCCGTCGCGAAGTGCATGATGGGCCAACATTTTGTAAAAGAATCATCATTTTGAGGGAAATTTGTGAAAATCTTTCGTGCTTTGCAGTCATAAATTGTGAAACTGTGTAATCCGTTGTAAACAATGCATCCACCGATAGCACAAATAACGGAGTTATCGAGATACTACAACGAGTGAAAAATTTCCCGTGCCAAGTCAGATAAAAAAGTGTCACTCAAAAAATAACGTCTTTAATAACAAATGCATCACTTAAATTCCTCGCTTCAAATGTACAACAAAAACGTGATTATGTTTGCATTATCGTGTAAGTGTAGCGTTGTGATGAAATACACTGTCAACTGTTTTATTGATGGGATTTATAGTGTGCTTCCATATATGGCGAAGGCCGTAACAATATCTTTTATTTACATTTATATAATGTAACCATGCATGTACGTTGCACTGCGCTTAACAACAATGGCCGCGCCTGTCACGTATGTATGTTATTCTTAATTAGGGCCCTGGATGGCTGTTATTCGTACTCCGTTAAGGAGATATAGGCCTACAAAAGGGGAGGCATCGATAATATATCACTCAATATTCTACCCTGTCAATGCAAGATCAATTGAACATGCATATCGTTTCTAATATTGTCTGTGTTTTCATATTATATATTGGCACGGAGGTCAGATCGTAATGTTGTGTACTATTTGTTGCTCTATAAATACTAGAGCAAAATTCGCATAATAATCAATAAAATCACGTGGATCTATGACCCAGATATATTATGTTTCAAATCAACTACAACACAATCTCCAATGCGAATTGTGCAAGTGTTGTAATTGCCTTATAAATCGGTTTAAATAAACCATACTATCTCGCATACACGTAATTGTTATTAATATTCTTCTAGTAATTTCTTTTTCTCGGTGTGCTTGATAACACGGCTACAACATCAATATACAACCAACATCGATTACTCTAACACAATTATTTGCATTTTATATACAAGGAATTTCAACTGCTCTGCATAATACATAATGTTCGTCTGGAAATGTTACACAAACAACCCCAAAATGAAATCAACGAGTATTGAGAAGCGTCTTGTATCATTGTTATTAACAAAGGTTGGGAGGATGGTTAACTACAAATGGAGAGATGATATTTGTTCGGAATACCATATGTTACCACGGCGTGCCTTATTATCTCCAACATTTACCAGGTGGCACATAGCTACCGTTGAATACAAATAAACACAATTAAAATAGTCGTTTATGTGCCTAACAATTACACTACGCCAACGTAATAATCAATTATCATTTTCTATCCCGGGAATCTGAATTTGTAAATTGACGCTTCGAACTGTTTAAGAATATTTCAGACACATTATTATAACACGTATACAAAAATATGTGTTTCAATCAAGTACAATCCATAAGTACAATCCATAAGTACCCCATGAAAATTCGCTAAACTGACGTACAGTTGAATTGAACCTCTATATATTTGCATACACGTGCATGTCATTATACTAATTTGTATTTTAGAAGGAAATGAAATGCACAGTAACCGTAAACCAATTTATTAATATGATCTGGTAATACGACGCAAGCACTTGTTGTTGAGGTACGAATCTCCCCTTCACACATATATACGCAGTAGGAACGGACAAAATAATATGCTGGTATTACGAATTTAGAACGTTGTCGTTAAATAAATTATACACGGCATGTAACAATTAAATTTTATTTACAAATGAGTCGTACATTTCAACGCCCTATACATTATGCACAAACCGAAATCAAACATCTTGTCACGAGTGTCGCAGCTATTTATAAACTATGCGAGCTTCCCACACACACAAGATACGAACTCGATCGGAATGTGAGGCCCCGCATACACAGGCATAAGCGCATTATTCATCAAGATATATAAATTAGCGGCCTTCCCTGTTTAAAAACGTCTGATGCCCAGTGTGTACCACGTCATGCATATGTATAGGGCGAACTTACACCCCAAATAGAGGTATAATATTTACGCCTATCTAGATAGGGAGTGTTTGTACCCGACAAATTACCAGCACTTCAGACTAAACTCAAAGTGTACATTTAGGTGGCTGGTTGAACTTCCTTTAGGATTATTCCAACACGTTACAATTATGCCGTGTATGGGCATTGACATTGATAGACGTCGCAGTTGATCATGGCATTTATTTGAAACATTACGCATATCTTGTTGTGAGGCGTGCATTTCTGCAGAGAAAGGCGTCAGTTGCGAGCCGACAGTATAATAAATTTGACAGTGTTTACGTGTATAAATGGCCGACATATTATATTGATCACAGGGCACAGTGCACACGATTAGCATCATACGAAACGGCCAATCACAATATGCCATTTCACAATATGGTACAACTATGTAAACCATGACGCGAGCCGTAATGCCAACATGAATGAGTGTTATATACGGCTGTACAACATTCCGAGTATGGTGCTATGAAACGTCACTTATATTGTCATACTCGCCAGAGACTGTGCTATATTACGTATCTCGTATAGGAGACATTGATCAATCCCGTCACATGTACTCGCTGACTTAGACTGGTGGTTGAGTATATGAATGCATCGCATATATCCGTATAATATGGTTAATGTTTACCTACAATGAATGTCAGTTTTTAAATCGTAGGCATTTCAATGATTTACAACACAGAGCTCTATAACCAAAATGAACTCTGTGCCTGCCACAATCTCAGCGGGCATTTGGAGTTGTTTTACTGTTTTAAATGGCGTCGATATTTTCATGTTCTTCTTCCGAGTTTTCTCACTCAATGCGCTTATATATAGCCTCAAACACGCTTACATTTCTTTTCATCGACATTATTGTATGTTGCCGTCATCGACTAGTGAAGCGCCTCTCGTTAATTTCAAATGACGTCATCAGCTGTAATGTGTTCATAATAAGAATATTATGATTTAATAATTCGAAATAACAACCAATATTGCAATTATTGCGTATTTTATTAAACACAGTGCAAATGGTCTGTAATTAAGATACAGGCACTAAATTTGCAATATCAAATGGTTGAATGCATCGCAAACATACGATGTAATCAGGAATTGAAACAACCTTGTCTGATGTACAGTATGTATAATTATAGTATACAGCGACAGTTCCAGGAACTAGGTCGTTCATCGGCACACTACGTCATATGATACTAGTTATTATATATTTAACACAATCCTTTACCAGAAATAAAAAAAAAATAATCTACAAAATGTAGGATGAACATTATGCCTGAAACAATCTAGTAATCTTATGAATTGACAAACATAATTATTGCAATATCTATACTCGTCTTCTCTTCGAAACAGCGATTACCTTGTTGCCATGCTACGTCACACTAGCTGCGTACCCCAATCGGGGGTCATTTGAATATATAACCAGACGCTATTAAAGTAGCTTGATGTAAACAATCAACGCCGAATATTAAGGTTTTGAATCTGTTTTATACGAGGTAAACACTGGTAACTGTTTGACTAAAGTATATGGAACTGATTATAAGGAGGGTTGTGCCAAAAATAGACCTATCATTTTTCTTGTAAATTTTCTTTAATAAGGATAACATGAATAACAATAGCCCACATTATAACTTTCGCAGCAACAATTTTGACAATAATAATAATATAATAACAATTATTTAAACTGGGTAGTCTCGCATGCTTTCGACTTTATTAGTTAAAATAGACAAACATATTGATTAAACGAGAAAATAAATTAAAATCATGACAACAGTTTAAAAACTAAACATCAAAGTGACATATTCTTAACATTTCCAAATTATATTTAACAGATTTCTCTGGTACTGCACGCTTTTACGTAGTAAGTTATTCCACGTCTTAGTGTCTCTGTATTAAAAACTTCATCTAACAATCTGCGCTCTGTGCCTAGGTATGTACAATGACCGCGTAGCTCTTGAATTGACGTTATACAGCCCGAGTAAAGATAACTTTAGACTTTTTTCTTTTTCATATCTAAAAGATACTTGGCACAATATAGAAAATGTCAAAATATCCTGAATATTAAAGTTCAGGTAAATCTTTCCGTCTGTTATAATGTTGTAATTTGGTTCACTGTCATTTATCTCAACGCGAGGATAAGGTAGTGTCGCAAAAGCACACTTCGCTTGGACCAAATAAATGGCAAAATATAAAACAATGTACATAATTAGCATATCTGAACATTCAAGGGCACATTTCCTTTGTCAATATTACCATCATGAATTTTGTGGAACATAATAAATTAGCAATGACTTATAATAAACGACAATTATGCATGCAAACCATTTATATATCTGGAGTGATTTGTTAATCTAACATTCCACATGTAGTTATCACCGAAATTATCAGCAATATGTTTTAGTTTTGAAAGAGTAGATTTATTTCGTTCCTGTGTTATATAACATTGGTTGGTTCATGCTTTCCTGATGACATAATTGATGTATTCGTAATTTCATTGAAATAAAAACAAAAAATAAATTCCAGAAGTGCCCTAAAATGAACTAGAGTATAAATACTAAAAATAAAGTAATGTATCTCAAATATTAAGTTACCTTGGAAACATACTTAAATTGACGCAATGAACATGTATAATACTGTATTCCAACACAACTTATATTTTAGATTTTTAAAAGATAACAACTTTCGAACCAGTTTAACGTATGTTAAACAACTATACAATTATGTATTTTTCAGGAGATTTATTTTATTTATTATACATTGTTTAACTGGCGCCACTAAATAAATCATCAGAATGTTGTTTTGAAAACTACAATAGCTAAACAAACTGATGTTAAAGTAAATCATTCGAACACATTTACGGGTCAATTGAAATTACAGGCCCTTATTAAAACATATAAATATGAAGCACGAATTTCGGCCTTGACTGAATAGAAGTAACACATGCCTTTTTTTGTCCAGAAGCCTATACATGTAAAATGCACATA